TTAGTAGGGGCCAATGAAGTGCATCCCTACACACACAGTCGTTTACGTTTAATGTCTCACTGAGCAGTATAGAGGGCAACGCAGTAGGTAGTGCTGTCGCCTCACAGAAGGAAGGTTGCTGGATCAAGCCTCGGCTGGGTCAGTTGGCGTTTCTGTGTGGAGTTTGCATGTTCTCCTTGCGTTCGCGTGGGTTTTCTTCCCACAGTTCAGAGACATGCGGTACAGGTGAATTGGGCAGCCTAATTTGTCCGTAGTGTATGAGTGCGAGTGAGTGTGTATTGACCATCCCCCAGAGATGGGTTGCAGCTGAAAGGGCATCCGCTGCGTAAAACAAGTGCTGGATGAGTTGGGGGTTCATTCAGCTGTGGCGACCCCAGATTAATAAAGGGACTAAACCGAAAAGAAAATTGATGAATGAATGAAGACCACAGATTGAGTGCCCTCTGCTCACTAACACCACTTCCGTCAGCGACCTAGCTTTCCCATGTAGTCTCCTATCCAGGTACTGACCGGGGGCAGCCCTGCTTAGCTTCAGTGGGCGACCATGTGAGAGCTGCAGGGAGCTAGTTGCCAGCATATTTATATTATATAGCAGCTGATATAAATAATTGAATTTTGTCACACTTTAAGTTACAATTGTCACTGTTAATAAATCATTAACTTTTTTGCCTTAATAAAGGCTTAGTGTGTTGGTTATTAAGTGGGTTTAGGTATTAGGGATGTAGAATAAGATCATGCAAAATACTTAATACAAGTAACTCAGACCATATCCTATTAATAGGCAGGTAATGAACCACTAGTTAATACTGAGAATTGATGCTTAAACTGAAGTGTTCCTTCAATTTTTGTTGAGAAATAGTTATGAATGTTTTATAAAATAACAAATTGAACAATAGTGTACAGTTTTTAAATGGATTATGATTGTATTATTATTATTATTATCAGTGATAAATTGGTCAATATGTGTTTGTATTCAGTATGATAAGTCACTTTTAAATAGATTACCATTACCCAAAACAGGAGCAGCATTTCTAAAATATGTTGACTTATTTGTTTACTTATTTATTTTCGTACTTCATTTGCTTATTCACTTACTTATATATTTACTAATTTGCTCATATAGACATTTTTTGTATATTTTGTTAATGCAGTGATGCTCTTGCAAAGAATTTAGTATCATTGTTAAAATGATGATGTACATTAATGATATTTCATGATACGTTGATAAATAATGGGGCGGCACGGTGGCTCAGTGGTTAGTTGTCATTTCTGTGTGGAGTTTGCATGCTCTCCCCGTGTTGGTGTGGGTTTCGTCCGAGTGCTCCGGTTTCCCCCACAGTCCAAACACATGCTCTATTGGTTGATTGGATGGCTGTAGTGTATGAGTGTGTGTGTGAATGAGTGTGTATGGGTGTTTCCCAGTACTAGAAGGGCGTCCGCTGCGTGAAACATATGCTGGAATAGTTGGCGGTACATTCTGCTGTGGTGAAGGAAAATGAATGAATGATAAATGATATTTCAAACATTGTGGTAGGAAAATAAGAGAAGCTTCATGTAAAGCTTCCTCCACCGTCTCATACAAGAAAAAAAACTACTCGAGTTCACTTGATGTAATTCAGTTTTAAATGATTTCCGGAGACCGAGGACATTGGGACGAAACACAGTGTTAAAATACAGATAACACAATGACACACACTCGCACGCGCACACAAAAAGCTGCAAATACTTCACTTCCTCTGAATTAATCAAGCAGACAACAATATGCCATCAGTATGCAGGGAGCACGCGGTGACCAGCAAACAAAACGCTGGACTCTTGAGCCGTGTTGCGTGTCTGTGGCGGGATTAATCCGGCGTGCTGTGCGTTTATCGGAGACTCAGGTGTGTGTCTGTCTGATAACTCTTGCTATTGTCCGGCATCACGCGGTGTGACGGCTCCAATCTGCACACAGAACACCAAACGTCTGTGGCTGCTCGAAAGTGCACTCTTAATATAAGCCCAACATCTTTTGAGACCCTCGTATGCATTGTGGCACGATGCACGGCGAAGTGTGTACATATGTTTGTGTATTAATGTGTGTGTGTGAGAATCATGGGGTGGGGGGAATTTTACGGCGATGCCTTTAAAAAAATAAATAAATACTTTCACTTTCCAGAGACTTTTTATTATTTTATAACACGAAGAAAAATGCTAGATATATCATTAAAATACTTCATTTCAGATGAAATTAGATTCAAATTTTATGCATAAGCGTAAAGAGTAATATTAACAAAAATATGCATTACTCATTCCATTTTTAAGCTTGCCAATGGTGACTTTTTATGAAAGTGAAACAGTAATACTGTGAGAAATATTCAGTACACAATTTAAAATATTAATTTAATTATTTTCCTTCGCTTATTTATTAGGGGTCGCCACCAAGGAATGAACCACTAACTTATCCAGCATATGTTTTACAGTGCATTTGCACTTCCAGCTGCAACCCAAGACTGGGAAACATCCATACACACTCATTCATACACCACGGCCAATTTAGTTCATCAATTCCCCAATAGCGCATGTGTTTAAACTGTGGGGGAAACCTAAGCGAACTCCACACAGAAATGCCAAGTGACCCAGCCGGGACTCAAACCCGCAACCTTCTTGTTGTGAGGCAACAGTGCTAACCACTGAGCCTCTTTTTTTGTTTTACGATTTTTATTTTTTATTAGATGGTACAGTATTGAGACAGAAAGTGAAGTTGGAGGGGGGGGGGGGGGGTGTAGGGTAGGGAAGTGTCCTCTAGCCGGGATTCGAACTCAGGACGCCCTGATGTGCTACTGCACCATATGTCGGCGCACTAACCACGCACTAACCACTAGGCTATTTCTGATTTGAACTTTTATTATCATATTCATTGTTTTTACTTCGGCTTAGTCCTTTATTTGTCAGGGGTCGCCACAGCAGAATGAACCGCCAACTATTCCAGCATATGTTTCACACAGTGGATGCCCTTCACGTGAGTGCCATTCACGCCTGCTGTTATCACGCAAATCCACCAGAGGCCGATGTCGACTGACTGACTGACCGACCGACCGATATCCCCACCCTGCTCCTTCCCTTAACACAACCAATAGTGTTTTCAAAAGCACCGATTGACCCGATCACCCACTTCCCTAAAAACAACCGACAGTTTTAAAAAGCAATCCAAAAAAACAAAAGCCCTCGCCAGATTTTTACCACGTTTTCAGATTTCTCACTCTGTTATTTACTTGTTTATTGTTATTATTTGCCGTTTGTTTTTGTCCTACCCACATTCTGGAACTGTTCTTCACTGAACTCGAACCCTATCGTCGTGGTCAACTTCTCTGCATCTCAAGTCCACCAACAAACATGGTGTGCTACTGGACAAACTTGTAACAGCAGGAAAGCCATCCATATGATGGTAAGCGGTCAACTGGTAAGCATGAAAGGAACGTCGTCAAACCGCCTCATAACTTTCATTTTAAAGACGAAATGCAGCCATTCGTACTTCTGGCTACATAATTCACGATCTCCAGAAATGTATACAGGGCTACGTTTTCAGAACGAGCTTATGTTGAAATAATGACTTGAATTCTGCTGTTCACTTAAAAAAAGTTCTCATTTAACCCTTGAATCATATTTGGTTCTTTTATTTGCAATTTGAGGATCTTGACAGCTGTACTGTCAAAAATGCAATAAATCACCTTGCCGCAGTAGAAAGTAAGTTTTACAGTTTTTGAATGACATGAGGGTGAGTAAATGGTGACACGCTGTCATTTTGGTTGAAGTATCCCCGAAAGTGTCCAGATATTTCTAGGCGAATTGCACCTAAACACCCACCTAGCTCTCAAACAGGCACCGACTGTCTGTCTATGTTTCTCGACGGGCTTTAATCTATCAGCGCACCATAGAAAAGTGCTGAAAGAGGCGGAAAGTTTCATCAGGGAAGTTTTGCTGTCTTGGTGATACAGTGAGATCAGCTTTTCATACCAAAACGAGGATTTCACTTTCTCAAAGGCACAGCCGTAAACTCCTCACACACACACATTAACACATATGTACATGCATGCACACACACAAACTCCATCGTTTTTATTTATTCATTCATTTTCTTTTCGGTTTAGTCGCTTTATTAATCAGAGATTACCGATGGGGTAAGCTAAATATTCTTATGTCAAAAGAAAATACAAGATTATTTTGCTGACCCCATTGGCAGATTATTTAGCTTGTTTTAAGGAAAAACTCGCTTAATATTGGCGTATTATTTTTGAAAACAAGACAGTATGTTTTGCTTGTCTAGAAAATGCTTCTTGATATAAGACTTTTTTGATATTTAGACTAGACAAATCATCTACAGTAAGTAAGAGAAGCATTTTCGCAGTGTAGTTTTAATAGAATTTATTATCGCACACCGTGTTGGAGGGGAAAAAAAACCTCCGCATTTCTCGGTAGATGCAGAGAGTCGGTAGGTGCAGAGATTTGCGTCAAACAGCCGTGTGTGTATAGACTATTCTGTCACAAAATTCTTCTTCCAATTGTTTGAATTAGGGTTGGCAACACAACATGGCATCTCTCTGAACACTGTAACAGGTAAAAGGAGTCTTTGAAGCTATATGATGCATAATAATGAAGTTGCACCTCATTTACAATAGAGTGTGCTGATTGGTTCGAACCAAGTCTTTCTCAAGAATTTACACAATGATCTCATGGCTGTGACCAAATAACGTGACTCGGAAATAACGCAAAAACAACCAATTTTCACTTTTTTTGTGAAAAATATGTGTCCTAATAGTGTTTTTAGCAGCGTGGGACACATATATGACTGTCAAGAGCTCAAAAAAATGTGGTGTTTCGTGACCCTTTAAAAACATGTGGGGATGTTTTTGCATGATGTTTGTAATGCATATTTTCATTTATTTATTGCATAAAGTTAAATCTAATCTCATCTAAAAATGAAATGTCTTAATGATGTCTTGTATGTTTGTGTGTATTTTCAGCATCCGCAGTCTCCATTATGAATGATGGCTCTGCAATGTGGCCTTTTTGTCGGAAGTCGATATGAATGTAACCGTGAGTATGTCAAAAATTTCATCATTATTAAGTATGCTATGAGTCTAAACAGGACGCGGCAGGTATATGCAGCGCTGTTACCTGTCTCAGGTGATTAGACGGAGAGTGAGACGGAAACCCTCCTCGTTTTTATTCGTGCGCTCCCGCCACTCTCTGGCAGGATAATAGCAGCCACAAATCATCCCGTAGGCTTCACTGGGCAGGAAATTGATGTTCTTTCATTTCAAAACAATGGAGAGCCTTATGAGAGGCCTGATGATGTCATAACTCCAGCGGCTGACAGGTTTGGGGGGCGCTGGGACAGCTCAATCAATCCCAGCATGCACTGGGGCTGCCATCAGAACGCAGAACAGACGTTCTCAATCAAACGCCATAGTTGAAGCGTCGTCTTACACACACACAGAGACAGACACACACACGTATGCGCACGGCTGTGATGTTGAGAAGTAAAACCGCTGCAGGTCTGTAAAGTCAGTCAGTCGATGAGTGTTATAAATCTTTAAAGTTTTCCAGAGGTGTGTGTGTGAGATTCAGCACTCATTATAGCTGACGTGACAATCATTTCAAGTCAGCCTGACATCTAAATCGAAGCTATTTACTTTCCTGCACTTATTGAACACTTCAGAAGTTCACATTATTCTGAAATGCATATTTAAAAATAGGTTTTGTCTTCATATTCTTTCGTTTTTTTATGTAATCTGGTTTCCGCTTCGAAAGGATTTTCATTTTCGATTATGATAATATGGATAACCAGCAGTTGAGTCAATCTCATTACAACATTTTTTAGGTCACGTTTCACTCCAATATCACATGAAAACAAATGAGAAATGTATATTTAATTTAGTTTCATGCACAAAATTATGCTAAATTCGTATTGTGAGTTATTTTAGTGACAAGCCATTATTTCCAAATTTGCATTTCGCCAAATTTTCAATCAGTTAAGCATTCAATCATTTATTTAATTTATATAAAATCAGTACAACAAATACCAAGTATAAATGTTTTTTATTTTAAATGGTATTTAGTTTAAAGTGCAATAATATATGCATATATACAATTGAAGTCTCGTTGAATGATGTTTAACAGAGCAAGGAAATTTTCACAGTACGTCTGATAATATTTTTTTCTTCAGGAGAGTCTTATTTGTTTAATTTCGGCTAGAATAAAAGCAGTTTTTAATTTTTAATAAACATTTTAAGGTCAATATTATTAGCCTTTTTAAGCTATATTTTTCCGATAGTCTACAGAACAAAACATCATTATACAATGACTTGCCTAATTACCCTAACCTGCCTAGTTACCCTAATTACCCTAGTTAACCTTTAAAAGTCACTTTAAGACTTTTAAGACTTTTTTAGTGCAAAAACCTCTAAGTTTGGTCTGAAACTTTCTTCTAATATTACCATTTTTCTCAGGCTTCTATGTCTTGGTTCAGAAAGTTCACTTTTATGGTAAATGTTGTGTTATTTTCATTGCTTCCAACATAAGAGGCTTTAAAAAAATTACAGATGCCACTGCGAGCTTTTTGCATCTAAACTCTTCATATATATATATATATATATATATATATATATATATATATATATATATATATATATATATATATATACATTTACATACATACATACATACAGTTAAGATAGAATTATTCACCCCTCTTTGAATTTATTGTTCTTTTTAAAATATTTCCCAAATGATGTTCAACAAAGCAAGGAAATTTTCACAGTACGTCTGATAATATTTTATCTTCTAGAGAAAGTCTTATTTGTTTTATTTCGGCTAGAATAAAAGCAGTTTTAAATTTTTTAATAAACATTTTAAGGTCAAAATCATTACCCCCTTTAAGCTACTTTTTTTTCTATAGTCTACAGAACAAACCATCATTATACAATAACTTACCTAATTACCCTAACCTGCCTAGTTAACCTAATTAACCTAGTGAAGCCTTTAAATGTCACTTTAAGCTGTATAGAAGTGTCTTGAAGAATATCTAGTCTATTATTATTTACTGTCATCATGGCAAAGATACAATAGATCAGGTATTAGAAATGAGTTATTACAACTATTATATCTAATAGAAATGTTGAGAAAATCTTCTGTTAAACAGAAATTGGGGGAAAAAATAAACGGGAGCTAATAATTCTGACTTCAACTGTATATATATATTACAGTTATATGCATTAAAATAAAATTCATTTCACTAAACATCTCTAGAAATAGATACAAATACATTTAAATTCTAATGAATTATTGCAAAAAAAAAAAAATTACAAAATATCAAATTTTGACTAAAATTTTATATTTTTGACCTTTATCTTGATTTTTTATTTTATTTTTTTGCCAAAAAAATGTATTTAATTTTTCCCTCAACACATTAATTTGAATGCACTAATCTTTGGAGTGTGATCTTCAGTTTTTTGTTAGATTAGATGCAGTTTTATCTTTGGTACTGACTAATATAATGTATATATGCACATATATATTATTATTATGTATAGCATCCTGTAGAAAATATTAACGCAATTAAGAAGTGAGGGGTGTTAGTACAGTATAAAATACATTACGCCTATGGAAATTCCTCAGAAACCACCAATACCAGTGTGTGTGTGTGTTGGCGGTTTTCCTTCTACACTGTCTGTTCACACTCCACCATCACTCAACAATCAGCCAACCATAACCATAAAGCTGACAGGCGAGCGGTCGGGAAGGCGACGGATGCTGTGGAAGAGTGTGTTCGAGTGTGTGTGAGATCGTCCCGCTGCTTTTCCCGCTCTCATCTCTGACAGGCAGGAAAGGGCCATCGGTCACACACGTGTCCAGTGGCTTTGAAGTGTCTTTTCTGGCGTGTTAGCGGTCACGAGGGCTTCATCGCTGTGATTTTCCCCCAGAGAGAGCGAGACCGTGCAGGTATATCTGACACCAGCGCTGGCCTCCAATCACAGAGTTTTCCAGCCGGAGCGTTTACTGGGGATTTTAGAGTGCTTTATATGTGCCGTAATTAACCCGTAACATCTGTCCCACCGAGAGACTGTAATCAGACTTTAAAGCCTGATTAAAATTTTAACTGTACAATAGTTTTAGTTTGTTTTGTTTCTGTTTGTGAGGAGAAAGCCAGCATGAAACTGATTCAAGTTATGTAATCAGACATACAGTATGACAATGAACTGATTATTTAAGGATTTACACTCACCGGCCACTTTATTAGGTACACCTTACTAGCAGTTGATTAGTGCTTTATGACATGGTGCGTTATCTTGCTGGAAGCAGCCATCAGAAGATGGGCACACTGTGGTCATAAAGGGATGGACATGGTCAGCAACAATATTTAGGTAGGCTGTGGCGTTGACTCGATGCGCATGTGGTACTAACGGGCCCAAAGTGTGCCAAGAAAATATCCCACTCACTAATACACCACCACCACCAGCCTGAACCACTGATACAAGGCAAGGTGGATCCATGCTTTCATGTTGTTAATGCCAAATTCTGAGCAGAGCATCCGAATGTGTCAGCAGAAATGGAGACTCATCAGAGCAGGCAACGTTTCTCCAATCTTCTATTGTCCAGTTTTGGTGAGTCTGTGTGAATTGTAGCCTCAGTTTCCTGTTCTTAGCTGACAGGAGCGGCACCCGGTGTGCTCTTCTGCTGCTGTAGCCCATCCGCCTCAAGGTTGGACGTGTTGTGTGTTCAGAGATGCTCTTCTGCAGAGCTCGGTTGTAACGAGTGCTTATTTGAGTTACTGTTGCCTTTCTATCAGCTGGAACCAGTCTGGCCATTCTCCTCTGACCTCTGGTATCAACAAGGCATTTGCGCCCACAGAACTGCCGCTCACTGAATATTTCCACTTTGTCGGACCATTCTCTATAAACCCTAGGGATGGTTGTGCATGAAAATCTCAGTAGATCAGCAGTTTCTGAAATACTCAGAGCAGCCCGTCTGGCAGCAACAACCATGCCACGTTCAAAATCACTTAAATCCCCTTTCTTCCCCATTCTTATGCGCACTTTGAACTGCAGCAGATCATCTTGACCATGTCTACATGCCTAAATGTATTAAGGTGCTGCCATGTGATTGGCTGATTAGAAATTTGACTTAACAAGCAGTTGGAGAGGTGTACCTAATAAAGTGGCCAGTGAGTGTACAGTATATACTGTGCTCAGCATAGACGAGTACCGCTTATAACATTGTCATACCCCAACCCTCACAGCATAATCAAAATATTAATATCAAAATATGCTGTTTAGGTGTTTTGAATTGCGAGACACACGGCAATAAACAACTTCAATGTTGTAATATTACGGTCAAACCCATCAGTATACAAATTTCTCAAAAACAGACATATACACAAGGACACAAACACACAGTCACACAAATACATGCACAACCACACACAAACATACACTCACACAGACACAAACACACGTGTTGGTATTGGTGGTTTTTGAGAACTCTCTGTAGGCATAATGTATTGTATTCTGTAAACAATGCTTATTATACGGTCTTACCCCGACCCTCCCTGCAAACCTGTGGCAAATTTTGATTGCTTATTGTTTGGTTGTGTTATTTTTAGGTGTTTTGAATTATGGCAACACAAGGCACACAGAAACACACAGTCACACTTACGCATTGACACAGATTCACACACATTCTGTCACTACTCAACAGCGGTGCCAAATCTCAGACACACAAGGTCATCATCAGCAGACACAGATGCACTGCAGTATAGACACGGTATGCTAATTTTCACACACTGAATGTGTCGATGACCTCAAGGCTGAAGCTGCATTCATACTGTATGTTTTCATGCATCCACTAAAGCACACACAGAAACGCAGCGCTGCATTCCAGTGCATGTCAGATCTCCGTGCCACTGAGGGAACAGCAACTGCATGCAGAGAGAACGAGAGATGGAAATGAGGATATGATGCTATTCCTATAGTCTCTTATTCATAATGAAATGTTTTGACACAATTCTCTACTCCGAAGCGTAGTGAGCTTGAATATCGAGCTCAATAAATGTCCAAATATCTTTTCTTTAAAACATGCGGTCATTTCTTCTGTGATGCTCTCTCTGAGCCGTTTAATAGATAGATTTAATAAATGCAGGGATTGAGTATTAAAGTTAAGCACACACATGATTGTAATGCATAAAAATCATTTACTATTCTTTTATCTAGTTTTTTTCATTACACTTGATGATGATTGTAAATTATAATATATATTATTATATTTCATCATGAAATTCTGCAATACAAATGTTTGAGTGGCATGAATTGTCATTTTAAAATATTAATTACGATTAAATTCCCATTACTGTAATAATGCATCCAAATTTGTAAGAATTTTTGTATTATCCTTTACTCCCAAAGGTGATTGCAGTTAAAGTTTTAAATTGCAAAAAAATGGGTGCAATTCAGATTGTTTTTTATTTTGCATAAATTATTATTTATAATCATTTGTGTGTGCTTTTTACTGTTGTGTTGCTTGCTTGTAAAGAGCTTTAAGAAGTCTACAAAATGTATTATTAGTATTAAAACAGCTCTTTTTTGGTAAAGCTACTATCAAACATTAATGAAACTTGAATTGATGGAATTAATTTGATAAAACTTTAAATACATTTTTACATTAGTTCACAATTTCGACATTATTTAAACAGACATTCTTTTCATTTCTGCATTGAAAACAGCTGCCAACATTTTTGTCTTTTTTATTTTAGGTGAATCCACATTTCTTGACGAGATTTGAGAGATTTGTGGCTTTATACATCAGAAAACTCATGTAAGTTGTTCAATAAGATGCTGAAATTGATAAATGAAAAACAGATTGTATTTATTTAAATTGCAAAAACATGGCTGCTATTCAGATTTTTTTTTTTTTTTTTTGCATAGATTATTATTTATAATCATTTATGTGTGCTTTTTTACTGTCGTGTTGCTTGCTTGTAAAGAGCTTTGAGAAATCTACAAAATGTATTATTATTATTATTACTAAAACAGCATGTGTGTGTGTGTGTTTTTTTTATTTTATTTTTTTTGTAAAGCTACTATCAAACATTAATGAAACTTGAATTGATGGAATTAATTTGATAAAACTTTAAATACATTTTTACATTAATTAACAATTTAGACATTATTTAAACAGACATTTTTCATTTCTGCATTGAATACGGCATTTTTCCTCTCAAAAAAAGTCAATTCAGTCAGTCGGTATTTTCAGTGAAAGCTGCTAAGGATTGGAACTCCATCCCACCAACCATTAGAAGATCACTCACTTTTCATTCTCTTCAATCTCATGTTAAAAATTGGTTATTGGCAAATCAGCATTGTCAGCATTAGTACTGTATTCTTGACACATTTTTACTGATGTCTTTGGCTTTTTGTCCTCTTCTGCTGCCATCAGTCTGTTCTTGTTTTTTGACTTTTTTTTTAAAATATTTTTTTATTATAATTTTTGCAGACAGAAAAACAAAGAACAGACAGACAAACCCATCATGAGAAAATAATCTGTGCAAAATGCAAAATAAAGCAAGAAACAAGAGAAATCGGCGACATACGTATGTATGTAGAGAAAAAAAAAACTTACAAATCTTCAGAAATTAAACGACACTCAGTCTTTATGGTGTTGCAAAAAAAGAAAGACTGAATCCCACATTTTGAACTGGTTTAATGCTGTGCTTCTGCTTTGGGTGTGAATTTTTAACATTCTGTAAGGGGTCTACAGATGAAAAATAGCCATTCTTGGCTAATTCTGGCACATTCTACCGTAATGTTTATTAATGTGCATTGACCCTGTAAACAAATAAACTGAACTAAATACAGCTGCCAACGTTTTTGTCTTTTTTATTTTAGGTGAATCCACATTTCTTGAAGGGGTTTGGAGCTTTATACAGAACATCAGAAGACTCATGTAAGTTGTTGAAGAATATGCTGAAATTGATGATTGGAAAAAAATCAAGCTTCTAGTTTAGTTTTGTAGTTAATTTATTGCACACTATCTCTGGGTTCACTATTAAAGGGATAGTTCAGATTAATTTGTTCATTGTTATTGTTGACAGTGCATTAACTAATGTTAACAATTAGGATTGGAATAATCCAATAGTAAATGGTGATTAATAAATGCAAACAAGTATTGTTTATTATTGGTTCATGTCAGCGAATGCATTAACAATTATTATAAAGTGTGAACGTTATATTGGTTTGACGAAGTTATTCAATTAATCAAAAGCACTGCTTGGGAAATTCTAGAGTTGATTTCCTGTTCAACGTAAATCTGAAATCATACAACAGTGAAAGCATTTTCATTTTACGGGAAACTACAGTATCCTTTAACTCTAGAACTACTAAAATATACAGTTACATATAGACTGCAAAGGGGCATCATGGTGGCTCAGTGGTTAGCAGTGTCACCTTAGAGCAAGAAGGTTGCTGGTTCGAGTTCCTGCTAGGTCAGTTGTCATTTCTGTGTGGAGTTTGCATGTTCTCCCCGTGTTGGCATGGGTTTCCTCCGTGTGCTCCGGTTTCCCCCACAGTCCAAACATATGCGCTATAGGGGAGTTGATTAACTAAATTGGCTGTAGTGTATGAGTGTTTGTGTGTGAATGAGTGTTTATGGGTGTTTCCCAGTACTGGGGTGAAGCTGAATGGGCATCCACTGCGTAAAACATATGCTGGAATAGCTGGCAGTTCATTCCGCTGTGGCGACCCCTAAAGTAGAGACTGAGCTGAATGAAAATGAATGAATAAATGAATAGACAATATAATATCTTTGTGTAAAGTGTGAGCGTTGTATTGGTTTGACAAAGTTATTCAATTACAGAGTGTAAAAGCGGTCCAAATGGCTGCCTCGGTAGTTCTAGCGTAACGCTTTCCTGTTCAATGTAAATCTGAAATCATACATTTTCTACACTAATAATGACCCTGTTCTGATTCAGCACAGATACTGAAATAAGCCATTGGAATAACAAGGCCGTTTTCCCACACGTTTTCTCCAGACTGAAAGTGGTGCTTTCCAGGCCCAGGGCGATGTTCAGCTGTCTGGAGATGTAAATGCCAGGACCGGTTCAGAGTGTGACAGCGCCGGAGCTCCTGGGAATAAACTCTCACTCAAAACCGATTCGTACCTGCTCTCCGGACGGAGCCGCTAATCAGAACAGGCAGGTTCTGCTATGAGGGAAAAACTGGGTTTCTGCCGCATCACCGTTCTGGTTTTTAAGAGCCTCTCACACAGCGCAGTATTACAGCGTTCACTCAGATCTACAGCTAAAGCATCTTTTAAACACACTTTTCCTGTTGTGCTGGCTTTGGAAGTGCTTTTATTATAAATATTTCCAATAATGAATTAAAAAGAAAACTCATTACATAGCCAGCTTCATTTACCAGTGCTCAGCATAAATGAGTGCACCTCTTTAAATGTGTATTTTCTGTAGGATGCTTCACAGTAATATACAGTATGTGTGTGCATATACATTAGGTTAGTCAGTACTGAAGACAAAACTCGACCTAATCTAACAAAAGATCTAACTTGAGGTCAGGGTCCAATAAGTTATACATCCAAATAAATGTGAGGAAAACATTTTAAATAGTTTTTTAATGAAGAGGAAAAATCTAAAGAAACTATAAAAATTAATTGAAAGCTTATAGTTTGTAATATAAACTTATATTTTGCATATTACCTCGTTTCAATTGAAATGTGTTGTCTTTCTAATGCTAAAGATGACCAAACTCTTATTTTAATGGGTATATGTAGTTTAATAAAACCAAAATACGCTAAAATATGTTTATATTTACTAAGAAATGGCAAAAAAAAAATTAAATAGAGGGTGAACTTATTTAATCTGTTCACTGTATACTTTAATATGAAGCAGTGAGGTATATAAAAGTCTAAGTTAACGGCTCAAACTTACAGCTAAAACATATTTAAAACACACTTTACCTGTTGTGCTGGTTTTGGAATTACTTTTATTATTAATTTTTCCAATAATGATTTTAAAATAAAGCATTATGAATCACATCAGCCAGCTATTTTACATGGAAAGCTTTATATACAGTGCTTGTATGAAATGAATACACCATTTAAACATCTGTCTTTAAATTAAAACTTTCTATAGGATGCTTTACCATAATATATTTGTGTATATACAGTATATTAGATCAGTCTGTACCAAAGAGACAACTGAGCCTAATCTAACAAAATAACTTAAGATCAGGGTGCAAACGTTTCCGTGCAACATTTTCAATCAGATTTTAATTCAGATGATAAATCAAGAGAAGCATAAAAAATATTAAATGTACTTGAAATCTTGTAGTTTGTAATGTGTATTTATATTTTGTAGCACCTCATTTAAATTGAAATGTGTTGTCTTTCTATTCCTAAAGATGTTAGGGGACTAAACCTCTTAATACAAATATATACAAATACAAGTATTGAATAAAACCAAAGTGCTCCAAATTATATTTTGTAAATGGTAAAAATTTGTAACTTTTTATATAAAAAAACTAAATTTCTCCTAGACAATGTTATTAAACTGAAATTAAGATGAGAACAATAACATTTAGGTATATATAAAAACAACTGAAATAAACTCTTATTTTAATGGATATAAAACAGTTTAATAAAACCAATATATGTTGTCTATATTTACTGAGAAATGGCAAAAAAATTAAATAGAGGGTGAACTCATTTATTTTGTGCACTGTATACTTTAATATGAAGCACTGAGGTATATAAAAGTCTAAGTTAACGGCTCAAACTTACAGCTAAAACATATTTTAAACACATTTTACCTGTTGTGCTGGCTCGTAACTTAAGATCAGGGTGCAAAAGTTTGTGCATTAGTGAAACATTTTCAATCAGATTTTAATTTAGATGAAAAATCAAGAGAAGCATAAAAAATATTAAATTTAGTTGAACTTTTTTTTGTAGTTTGTAATGTCTCTATATTTTGCAACACCTCATTTAAGTGGGCTGTATGCACAGCATGTGTTTTTCAGCCAGTGATAAACTTCCGGTGAAAGCTTAATGTGACTATCTTCTATTTCATACGGTTGCTTTTACAGCATGGATGTTGTAATGTAATTACAATACATTTAGTTAAACAGACTCAAGCATTCATTTAGTTGTTCAAGTGTAAAACAAGATGAAAGACGGTGCAACCGCTAGCGCTGGCAGGATCAGCAGGCGAGCACAGAAACTTCATTGAAAATACTGGGGTAAAATAAGCTGTCGCATTTTAAAGACATGGCAGCGGGAAATGTAATTTAATGCGGTGTTTATTGTCTGGTCTGAGACCCACTTCATAACGTATATCCATCAGGCAGTGAAGATTACTGATTTTTAAAGAAATCAGACCTTAAACATGGCAATTTTATAATGGAAAGACTGTTCACCGGCTGGCTGGCTGAAATTAAAAGTCTGTGTGTATATACCTCATTCGGATAAATTGTCTTTCTATTTTCTATTTTAATGTATATATAATGGTTTAATATAACTAAAATGCACCAAAATATAGTTTATAAATGGTTAAAATTTGTATCTTTTTGTATAAAAAAGCTAAATTCTCCTTGACAATGTTATCCAACTGAAATTAAGATAATGAGAGCAATAAAATATATAAATAAAACTGTTTTGTTTTAATCTAATTTATTTTAATGCACTAAAACTGAAATAAGTTAATTAGAAAAACGTTTAGGTATAAAATATAATATATCATGTATTAGCATATATATATATATATATATATATATATATATATATATATATATATATATATATATATATATAATGCATCAAATTTAAAATATATATCATATTTTAAATGTTTTTTCATTTTAATCTAATTTATTTTAATGTACTAAAACTGAAATAAGCTATTTAGAAAAACATTTAGGTATAAAATATAATATATTATATATTAACATATTTATAAAATATATAACATTTAAAATATATAAAATAAGATATATATATATATATATATATATATATATATATATATATATATATATATATATATATATATATATATATATATATATATATAAATGTTTTCTTGTTTTTAATCTAATTTATTTTAATGTACTAGAACTGAAATAAGTAAATTAGAAAAAACATTTAGGTATATATAAAAATGAACTCTCATTTTAATGGATGTATAACCGTTTAATAAAGCCAAAACATATTATCTATTTACATTGAAAAATGGTTAAAAATAAAAAAAGAGGGTGTACTTGTTTATTCTGTGCACTGTATACTTTGATATGAAGGAATGTGGTATAAGAAAATCTAAACATCTTTAATTAGAGAAGGAACTCAAATCCCATTAAGCAATAAGTCAAGCTTTTCTCGCTGCACTGCATCATGGGTAATGCACTTCCAGGACCACACTGTTGTCCAGAACTCACTCAGAGAAACCACATGGAATTTTGTTAACATCGCAAACTATAATTTCACAAATACTGCAGCGTTTTAGTGTTTTCAGAAAGCCTCGTAGTGTTTTCCTGCTGTCTGTTTGTGATGTAAATTTCTAGCCGTTTCATTCTAATGCCATTTCTTTGGCTGAAGGCTTTCATTTCCCTTTCAGAGCACCACTAATGGCGTAATTACAAGGCCCTCAATAAGCCGCCATATACGAAGAACTTGAACGAAAACACTGAAATCCCTTTAAAATGAAAGAATGTTACAATAAGCAGATGTAATCTGGCAGCAAAAGAACAATGCCACGTGCTGGAGTGAGACGCAAGTGCAAATCTTCAGACAAAACACAGTGATGTTTAGTAAATCTACAAAAAAAAGAAATGCTGGTCAGACTTTACAGTATTCTGATGCTAGTGAATGCTTGAAAATATAGCAATAATTAAAAAAAGAATGTTAAATTCCTTAGAGGGCTAATCGTTTTCCTTTAAATATATTGTTTTTGTATAGTCATTTATCAGTCATTCATTCATTAAACATTATTTCTAACAGTTATAACAGTTATTATATCCATGCAAATGTGTTTCCCCCAATTCCCAATCATGGGGCAGTCAGATCATGTAAAGATTTACTTTTAAAAATGAGATTTAAGTTAATGTTTATTTATTATTTTTGTTGTGAGTTTGTTTTAATAAAACAAATCATTTAAAATGTGAAGATTGCATTAATATACAAATGTAAAAAAAGAAGATTGAGGGATATAAGAAAAATATAGCAAAATATAAATAAATAAATAAATAAAAGTACAAAGGGTGCAAATTAGGATTGTTGGGCTTCATGGCTATAATGGCTAAAGGCGCTCAACCTGCCCTTGGTAATGCATGCCATAATTTTGGTGCACAGTGAAAAAAGTCCCCACATGTTTGTTTTTTTTACATCTATATGTGTTAAGATTTTACTTTTAGAAAGAAGTAACATCCTTGCAAAATAGTGATGAAACAATGACAACAACAGCTAAAGAAATAATGAAAAATGAATAAATAAATAACACACAATTAATTAAAAAACACACAAAACAAACGAGAAAGTAAAGTTCAGCTGACACAATAGTGGTTACAGGTGCACATATACTGTTGAAGTCAGAATTATAAACTCCCCTTTAATTTTTTTCTTTCTTTTTTTAAATATTTCCCAAATGATGTTTAACAGAGCAGGGAAATTTTCACAGTATGTCTGATAATATTTTTTCTTCAGGAAAAAGTCTTGTTTGTTTTATTTCGACTAGAATAAAAGCAGTTTTTAATTTTTAAACACCATTTTAAGGACAAAATTATTATCCTCTAAGCAATTTTTCTCTCAAAAGTTTACAGAACAAACCATCGTTATACAATAACTTGCCTAATTACCCTAACCTGCCTAGTTAACCTAATTAACCTAGTTAAGACTTTAAATGTCACTTTAAGCTGTGTAGAAGTGTCTTAAAGAATATCTAGTCTATTATTAGTTACTGTCATCATGACAAAGAGAAAGTAGATCGGTTATTAGAGATGAGTTATTAACACTTTTATGTTTAGAAATGTGCTGAAGAAATCTGCTCTCCTTAAAAAAGAAATTAGAGAAAAAAATAAACGGGCGAATAATTCAGGAGGATAATAATTCTGACTTTAACTGTACATACATTGGTGTTAGGTCTGGGAAAATAAAATAATATTAAAGTATTAACAGTAAGTGGTTTTTAACCTACAGCAGCGTGGCTAAAATAAAGTGAGTCCACAAGCAGAACGAAGAAAGTGACTTTTGCACGACTTTGCAGACTTTTAACCTCATTAAAAACAAAGAGTAACGCACAAATTGCACGATCTGGTGGAGAAGTGGCAGCCAGATTGTGCCAGCGTCCTCTCTCATCAAACACCATTGGACCCTTTTCATATTTCTGGGTTTCTCAGCAGCAGAAGTCGTCATAGTTGGTTAATTTGGAGTGTAGTAAATAGAAGAATACAACTAATAATTTATTTAAAATCCTATTTGCTGAAATA